GGCGCCGCAGTCAGGAAAAATTTCCAGAAGACACCTGGAATGGGGACAGGATGCCGCAGGGGGACCCAGCCCGGCAGAGCCGGCTGCAGAAGGAGGGAGCAGGAAGGCTTCCCCGAGGAGGGGGCTGGAGGGGGTTCTGCATCTCTGATGAAAGGTGCAGCACGCCAGCAGGGTGACTGTCTCCTTCCCACCTCAAACCAGGCGAACTCAGTCAAATCCTTGTCTTCTCAGGCCAGAGCCCGGCTCTTCAATCCAGAGAACAAGGCTGGACGCAGATCTGGTCCTCACACCCCGCCCTCCAGCTGTGCAATGCTAACCCCGAGGGCAGCGGCTGAGATTAGATGTGAAAGGGGTCTGTTCCTGCAGCCCTCCTAGCAGGATGGGTGGTTCCAGCTGGGGTTTTGGACCCCCTCCCACCATCCCCTTCTCCTTCACTGTGCTCTGAAGCTTGAACTGAGAGAGCCTCACTTCTTGCCTCTGCTTTGTCCTTGTCACCATTGTGACAGTTGAAGGAATTTTATGTGTGGTGAGAACAGGGCCGGGGACCTCTTAGACTTCAGAGCAGTCCATCTGGACCCGTGTATTGAGTTTTTTCCTACTTTCATTTGAGCTCTTCACGTAAAAGGATTCAAGAAGCTGAATGCTTTGGACACATATTGTAAGCGGTATAGAAATGTGTGTGGACTCTGAAGCCAGACTGCCTGGTTTAATCCCAGCTCCAACACGTGCGAGCTGTGTGACCTTGGGCAAGTTGCTTAACTTCTCTGGGCCTCAGTTTTCTCATGTGTAGCTATGACAGCGATCTCCTCATTATTAGAATTACATCAGGTACTGTGTGTGAAATTCTCAAACAGCTGCTGGCATATAGAAACTACTAGATAAATGGGAGCCATTGTCGTTTCTATAGTTATGACTTCGTTTCCTTTCTCTCTGTTCATTGCACATTTCTAATTTCTAAGAGATCCCAATTTTATTATTATTATAGTGAGAAGAGAGCCTAGCTGCCTCCCGCCTCCTTGGTCCTGGCCTGTACACACTTCTAACCCTCGCTTCTCTTGCTGGAGCCAAAGACACACAATTCTTGTCCCCGTGCCCAGGTAGGGGTGTTGAGACACAGAGTAGATGGACTTCCTAGACTGTGGTTTGGTGTGTGTTTCAGCTTATAAAGTGCGTAATTTTTTTCATATTCATTAACAATGGTATTGTTTTGTCATAATTTTTTTTTGAAAATTAACACAGACATGTTGTAAAAAATTTCAAGTACCAAACACCCCCTACCTCTTGTCCAAAGGCTGATTTCCTTTCCTCGAGGTAATAAGCACTGTTACCAGTCCCCTGTATGTCCTTCCAGGCTGGTTCTAGAACAGCCTTCATTGTTTCACACCTTCTCTGCTTACCAGTGGACGCCATTGGCGTAGGTGTGTAAATGAGTCTGAGTGTACAGGCCCGGGTTAGAAAGACCCCTGGGCCAGCCTGCCCACCTCCTCACAGCCAAGGCCATCTACATGGACCTGCAGGTCACAGAGGTTACAGGCCCTGGGGCCCAGAAGAGTTCAAGAGCCTGTTCCGTGGGTTGGATGTCTTGGCATCAAGTCATTGGCTGACCTTGGAGCCCAGTTCTAAAATCCACCCTCCACCTTTGGTCTGATACCCCCAGCCTGGTCTCTGAACCCCACCCCACCAGCCTCTTCCCTTGAGCCTGGCTCTTTGACCTGAGAGTTTGCTCAGGAGCTCACTCAGTCCCCTCCAGCCCTGCCAAGAATGGGGCTGCGCAGAAACTCATACAAGCGGGCTGACTCCATGCAGCCCTGGCCCATCATGCCTGGTCCCCCTCGTCTTTCTGGGTCACTGGGCTATCTCTGCCAGGACCCTTGCTGGAGCCCGCTGACACTGCCCCATCCTGCACTGCCTCTGGTTCTGTGGGCTCCATCCTCCACCAGGGAAGGTTCCCTCTCCCTCGCTACAGCTTGTTCTATCCCCAAACATCTTAGGATTCCAGTCCTAGCCGTGTGACTCTGGGAGATTCATTTGACCTCTTTAAGCCTCAGTTTCCTTATCTGTAAAATGGGCATGATATTCCCTGTGTACCTCACAGGGTGGGTGAGAGCCTAGTATTCAGGTACTGCCATGTAGACAGAAGTCCCCAGGGCCTCCTTTCACCCACCTCAGTTGAGATGTCAAATTTCCAGGTCCCATCAGCTCTCTCTCTAACTGGCTCTCACTGCTCACCAAGCTTCAAGCTCCCATTTTGACTTAAACCATGAATTTCAGGTGACTTTCATGCCTCCCAGATTGGCCATCGGAACAGTTCCAGGAGAAGATCATGTCTGAGTTTCTCGGAGGGTGGGTAGCAATGATGTAATAGTAACAAGGGTGGTCAACCTTCACTGAGCAGTACCTGTAAGCCAGGTGTTCCACGAATGACCTCAAGAATCCTTGTGACAACCTGTAGAGGCAGCTACTGCCATCAACCCATGATTGAGATGCCCACATGGAGGCTCAGAGACCACAAGTGAACTGATAAGGCTGCACAAAAATCAAGTGGGAGGCTGACCTGTGGACACACTCGAAGCCCAGCTCATTCATTCAGAGCTCGCTAGAGGAAGAGAGTCATGTGTTTGGCAGAGACTCAAAGGCAGGGGAGGGGGAAAGCTTTATAGTGGGGGAGGGGGTGGGAAGGCAAGGCTTCGGGTGGGTCCTGATTGGAGGCTATCAGCACAGGGGGTCTGGAGGCAGGCGGTACAGGACAGAGCATCCTATGGGGTTGGTTAGGGATGCACATCTGGCTTTGTCTTGTTGGTCCTAGGTTGGAAGCAGGGACAAAAATTAGGGAAGCTGTCAGTGATTCGTCAAGTCCTGGCCATGGTGGCTGATTGTCACAGAAGTGACTGTTTAGCTTCCCGGATTGTCACTAGAGACAGCAGTCTGGTTCCTGGGAGTCTGGCTTACAGCGGGCTGGCTTCCTGGACTGTTTACTGTGGTTAAGGACTCGGTTTCCTGGTCACGTTGCTGCAGGTTGTGGGGCAGAATTCTGTTTTTATATATGGTCTGGCCACTGTCTGTCTGTATATTCAATCTCTCAAACCCAAGGGAGTCTAACTCCATGTTCTTGAAATCTGGAAAATCCCATGGGGGCCAGGTTAAGGGCATCTCAGAAGAGAGCCCCAGATCCTGAAATTCCAGAGGGTTGGCCTGTCTTAGCCTCCCTGGCTCCCATGTGGGCAGGGCTCTCCTGCTTCAGAGCCCTGCTGTCCTGCTGGCTTACAACAATTGTGGCTGCCACTGGGGGTCCGAGCCCCTCCCCAGCCAGAACCCACGCACACAGCCTCACGCCAAGCTGGGCGGCTCCTATGCACACGGGCCCTGAGCGTCTGCCCCCCAGGTCTGCAGAGACCGGCACCCCAGACTGGCTGGCTGGCCTCATCTAAGGCAGCCAGGACGGTGTCTACTGGGAGCATTTTCTGTGTGATGTGTTTTCCTTTCTTTGGTAGCTCATAAAATTCCCCTGCCTGCCCTGGGCCTCTCAGTCTTTAATCTTCAACTTCTCCTGGAGCTCCCCCTATTTCTTTTTAATTACGCCTCTTTTTTTTTTTTAATGGAAGTTTCCTATTGACTTTTTATGACAATACAGAGCAGTGGATAGACTCCAACAAAAATGAGATCTTTATGGAACAGTCATTTCTCTCCTGGAGCCTTCTGACAGACGTCCCTCTGTGGACACCTAGACACGTCCATGCTGGTGGGCAGCAGAGGGCAGGGGGAGTCACTGGTCTTGGCTGGAGCCCAGCTGGCTGAGCTGGTTATCGCCTCAGCGTTCTGGTGGCTGCTGGGGAGTGGGGCGCAGCTCAGCCCGGGGGGATGGGGGACAACATGAGATACGGAAGAGAAGCCAGTCTTTCCCGGGTACAGTCCTTTTGCCTTGGTATCAGTGAAATTAACACTGCTCCTTAATCCCAAGCCATCTGGCCACGTGACTGCACATGTGTGGGGGGTGACATGTGTGGTGACCCCTTACTTAGCATCTCCTGCCCGATCCCCCCAGCTTAGCCTGAGAAGAACCTCTCTCCTTGAGCCTAACATCAGACGTGACTGTCTGGGGTCACTGGCTTGTTTCCTTTGGGTGAGCTTCCCAGAGGGCGGTCTAGGGATGGCTTGGGACCCACAAATGGCTCTTCAGGGGTCAGGGGCCTAGCCAGGGAGTAAATGCTCATGCCAGAAGGGCAAGGAAAAATTATTCATTTACAGATAGGTATTAGGAACCACTCACACCACATGTCCGGCCCAGACCTGGGCACCAGGGACTTCAAAGTCATGATCCCTTGTGCTATGGAGTCGACGTTTCTGAAGAAGGAGACAGGCAAGAATAACAGGGAAAAAAATCAAGTAAATGTGGAAATGATGTGATGATTTCAGATTGTGGCAAGTGCCGTGGGACAAACGGAGAGAAGAGAGGGCTGCTGGGGGCAAGGGGCGGGAGGGAAGAAGGGCCTCTGCTTTAGACGATGGTCAGGGAAGGCTACCTGCTGACACTGGAGATGGACAGGGCTTAGATCCAGGGAAGAGCATTCCAGGCAGAGGGACCAGCAAGTGCAAAGGCCCTGAGGCACTGGTGGAGTTGAGAAACAGAGAGAAGGTGAGGGTGGCTAGGGTGGGGTGAGCCACCTGGAGAGCAGAGGGAGAGGAGGCTGGGTCAGGTGTGGGGCTTTGGAAGCATCCCTGATTAACAGCTCTTATTTCAAGTGCAGTGTGATCACTGAGTGGCTTTAAGGAGTCGAGGCCTGACACAAACTGATTCTTTTTGTAAGTTCTCTGTAGTTTTTTTTTTAATTGAAGGATAGTTGATTTACAACATTGTGTTAATTTCTGGTGTACAGCATCATGATTCAGTTATACAATATATTCTTTTTGGTATTCTTTTTCATTATAGATGGATCGATAAAGAAGATGTGGCACATGTGTACAACAGAATACTACTCAGCCATGAAAAAAGAACAAAATAATATGATTCACAGCAACATGGATGGACCTAGAGATTGTCATACTAAGTGAAGTAAGTCAGAGAAAGACAGATATCATATGATCTCACTTATATGTAGAATCTTTAAAATTATACAAATGAACTTATTTATAAAACAGAGAGAGATTCACAGACATAGAGAACAAACTTGTGGTTACCAAAGGGGAGAGGAGGGATAAATTAGAAGTTTGTTTTCATTTTAAAGACACCATTGTGACTGCTGGGTCTCTAGAGAATGCACTGTAGAATTGTGTTAAAACCAGTGGCCAGGTTTTCAGAGCCTCAAGAGGACAACACAAGGCTCCAACTCTAGAGAGGATTTGGGAGAAGCGGGATGGTAGGGTCAGTTTCTTAAGGTTGTTTGGGTCCAGAGCTGTTTCCGTAAACAGCAAGGCTTCCTACAAAACTTGTCCCCAGCCTAAATTATGAGGGCAACTGAAAAGTGCTAGTTCTGTTCATCTCCCTGCGGAGAACAAACTTTCAGGCAAGGACAAAGCACTGTAGATCTCATATGTGAATTTTGTTAAGGAATGAACTCTCCTATGTGAGTGCCCAGTGTCTACCCATAGGAGGAACAGTCATAATACAGCCTAATAATAGGGAGGAAATGAATGTGTTTTGGCAGTCTCTAGCCCATGTGTTAGGTCTTATAACAGCCACAGCTGCTCTGAAAAGTACGTTAAATATGAGACCTGGGACCAGAGAGGTTAAGTAAGTTGCCCAAAGTCACACAGCACCAAAAGGCAGAACTGGAGTTTGACTCAAGTCTGTCTGATTCTGGTGCCCTTGCTTCTGTCATTCAACCCTGTGACTTTGGACAGCATCCACATGCTGAATGCTCAGTGGCTCCTTGTCCCATAAATACTGCTATGGTTCCTCAGGGAGACTGGGAATCGTGGCCTGGTGAGACTGGAGCACCCTTGGGAGACCCTTGTGCCTTCCAGCTACAGGTCCAAGAACACAGAGCCTGCCTGAGGTCTGTAGGCTCTCAAAAAACGTACTTGACATTTGAACAAAAATTAGCTCCAAAGTGTCAATAGAAAGCTGCAAAACCACTACTAGGAATTTATATTTCATTTTATCTCCATTTCTTCCTTTTCCACACTCATCTCTGCATTGTGCAGCCCCAAGTTTCTGACCCGTATCACTTCCCTTCTGCCTGAAAATTTCCTTTTAACATTCCCTGCAGGGCAGATCTCCTGGCAATGAACGCCTTCTCTTTTTGTTTGTCTGAGAAAATCTTTCTTTCTCTCTCACTTTTTTTTCCAATTAAATTTTAATTTTAAGACAGTTGGAAATTCACATGTGTTGTTAGAAATAAACCAGAGAAATCCTGTGTGCCTTGTACTCAGCTTCCCCCCGAAGTAACATTGTACAGAGCTAGAATACTGACAACGGTACACTTTGAGGTCTGCTCATTGGCGTGTGTGTCTGTGTGTGTGTCTGTGTGTGTGTGTGTGTGTGTGTGATCACACGTTTAGTTTCATGCAGTTTTAGCCCATGATTGGGTTTGTGTATCCATCACCAGAGTCAAGACATGTTTTATTTCTATCACCACAAGGGTCTCTGCTTTTGCCCTTTTGTAACCCTCCCTCCTTCCCACTCTCCCCTCTTCCTTAACTCTGGCAACCAATGGTCTATTCTCTGTCTTGATAATTTTGTCATTGCAAGAATATCATATAAATGGAATAGTCTATGTGTGCCTTTTCAGCTCAGCATAACTGGAGATTCATCCTCGTTTTTGGGTGTCTTGATCCCGAACTTCCCCCTTGATTGCTGAATGCTGTTCTTTGGTGTAGGTGTATCACGGTTTCGGTGTTTAACCTCTCATCACTGAAAGACATCTGGGCTGTTTCTAGTTTTTGGCAGGGAGATCAGCGAGAAATTGTCCAAGGGAGGATGAAGACAGAGCCCCCACCAAACCAAACCAAACCAAGCAAACAAACAAAACAATGAGAGACAGAGAGAGAACAAA